GGCCTCTGTGAAGCCAGGAGCATCCCGGCATGTCCGTGTGCACGTGTTCCAGGAAAGCTATTCCCGGCTCTGGCGTGGGCTGAGCTCTGATTCCCTGATATTTTAGTGAATGCAGTTGCTTTCTCATAGGCCAGTTTGCCTGGGATGAGCCAGTAAGATCATCTTAAGCATCAAAATCCTCACTCTTCCTCTCCCTCTCCCATAGCTTTCTTTCCCAGTTTTCTTGTACTGGTTCCACTGTTGCTCTTGCTGCTCCAGGCAGGGTGTGTGAATACGGGACGGTGCCTTGCTTGATCCCGTCCGGAGCCTGTGCAGATCCTTGGAGAGCTGCGTGTGGATGCGCTCAGGCTGGAGGTGGCTTCGTGAGTCCCCACGGGCTGGTGCCGCATCCGGCACGTGCACGGGGACCCTCAAGCAGCGCACTGTCCATTGGACATGGGCCCATAATTGGGAGGGAATTTTGCTTCCCGTGACCCCTTTTTGGTACTTTCTGGACCTCCAACAACCCCAGACCCTGCGGATGGAAAGGGGTGGGTGAGTGGGGTCCAGGCCGAAGTTTTGAGGAGCAGTGTTTGGCCCTGGTGGCATCTGCGGGGTCCTGCAGGGGCGAGCAGCAGGATGTGGGAGCAGCTCTGCGCTGCACAGCTCAGGGTGAACACTGTCCTTACTCAGCTTCCAAACTAGCTTTTGAACCAGCTCTGCAAGAGGAGCGTGAGGGGACGACCTTTTTGAGGAGCTTTGTGAGTAGCGCCGGGTGCAAGGGAGAAACCTGCGTTCCTGCAGGTGAAGCTCAGCGCACCGGAGCGAGCAACTCCGAGGCTCCGGAGCAGCCCGTGTTCGTGTTCTTGCTGGTGCCAGAGAGGAGGATTATGAGGGCAGAGGGCAAAAAGCAGTCGGAAACGAGGGTTCATTAATTGCATTAATCACAAAGCTACTTGATAAGGCGAGAAGCCACAGGGGCAAAATGCTGAGTAGCTGCGCGCAGAGGCAGCGTGATCCAACACAAGGTCTGCACGAATCGACGCCCGGGCTTGGGGCCCCGTCTCCTCCTCTGTAGCCGGCATTAATCACAAAGCTACTTGATAAGGGGAGAAGCCACAGGGGCAAAATGCTGCGTAGCTGCGCGCGGAGGCAGCGTGATCCAGCACAAGGTCTGCACGAATCGACGCCCAGGCTTGGGGCCCTGTCTCCTCCTCCATAGCCAGGAAAGCTGCTCTGGGGCTCCCGGGTGACCCTTCCTGCCCGTCCCCGGCCCCGCTCTGCAGCGGGACGAGTGCAGGGTGACACTTGCCTTGGATCCGGGTGCCCTTCCCGCCTGACCCGCAGGCTTCGTTTGTCCTGGAGCTCGCTGATGTGCCAGGGCTGGCTTTTCCTCTAGGTTTATATAATAAACAGCACAGCGTGGCCTTGATAGCCTTTTAGGATCTATTGTTCTACCCATAACAAATGGGTCAGTTCTGGAAGTTGTTGTGACTTTTCAATGGTGTTTTCACTTAACCTGCCCCGACTTCTTAATTGGAATGACTTAGCAGGGTTGCAGCCGAGTGCTTTAACACTAATGGCTGCAGGAACTGCTTTTATTTATGTGCCCTCAGAAACTTTCTCCGTGCAAAGGGCCAGTTCCTTGTCCCAAAGCGTGAATGCACCATTCAAACCACCTGCTGCAAAAGCAGAACACACAACAGAGAAGTGTCCAGCTGCAGAGAATTGCTCTGAGTTGTTTCTATTTTAATTCCTGGACAGCACAGCTTGATGTTTAGCTTGGCTACCCAAAATACAGCAAGTCTTTCAAGGGAAGCATGGGGTTCTGGTTTACAAGGTGGAAGCAGTGAGTATGCACTTCTCCATGACTGGAGGCCAGTTGTGGCTACTGCAGTGTTGATGGGCTCAGGCTTTGCCAAATCATTAGAAAGGAGCTCCTAAAACTGCTGCATAGCGTTACAGCTGTGAAATCATGGCTTTTTTTAGAGGCACTTTCTTTGAATCTTAGCAAAAAGCTCCTGACGGTTTGTGACAATTTGTTTTGCATTTTAAAGATATTTTAAAGATATATATGTGTCTTTTCTTGCCTCTTCCTTTCAGTGCTGCTCACAGCAGTGAACTGCTACAGTGTGAAAGCTGCTACCCGTGTTCAGGATGCCTTTGCTGCAGCCAAACTGCTGGCGCTGGCCCTGATCATCATTCTTGGCTTCGTTCAGCTTGCAAAGGGTGAGTACGTTTCCTTTCTCTGCTGAAGGTGCTATGCAGCTAGAGCAGGATTGGGGAATTAGGGATAAAGCCCTGAAGTCCTACCCCAAGCATTTCAAAGCCAGCAGAAACATGTTGCAAGCGTCTTTTGTTCACTCACATGCTTGGGTGACATTTCCAGCACATACTTTGAAGAGGTGAGTGCATGGGGGTGTTCAAAATACCCATTTTGCATTTACCTCACTGGAGTCATGCTGGATTTCATGCTACTGAGATGCAGCTGGTACCACCCAGACACTTTTCTGCTTCCTGAGGTCGCTGTGTGGTCTCTCACATCTGGGCTGCAGGGCTGCAAAGTCAGCACCGATCCCAGATTTGATGCTGTGGCTTTCAGAAGCCCTTTCTGCAACGGGCTGCTGGTCACAGCCAATTTGATAGTAGAGATGTGTCTATGTCAGCGGCGCCCCAGCCTCCCCACCCCGTAGCACTCATTCCTTCACCAATTCTGCCTGCACAGCTCCCTGCTTCCTGCTTCAGGTGCGGAATAACCTGGGCTGGTCCATAGTCTCCTGCAGGGAAGGGCTGAGCAGCTGGGTCAGGCCAGGCAGCAGAACCCTGTGCTCTCCCCATGCAATGAACAGCAATGTTGCCATGTTAATAGATAGAATTTAGATGATAAAGAGAATATTCTAGGGTTCTTTTGTTTGTTTGGTTGGTTTTTTTGCTTGTTTTCTTCATACACACTTAAAATACCCTCCTACCAAGGGAGATACTTTGTTCCCAACCTGTCCGACTGACTAATCCGTGCCCATGAGCTTTGCTGTGCACTGTTCTGAGGGAGTTTTGTGGAAACATTTTTTTCCCAGGGAACAGTACAGGCCCTGCTTGTTCAGTGTGGATAAAAGCCTATAGCCAGCTCGTGTGTGCATGTTTGTGTGCGTCCACGGTCCTTCCAACTCCCGCCTGAGCTCTGAGAGCTAGTGCTGTCTTTGCAGAATTTCTTGCTTTATCAGAGGCTTTATTTTCTTCCAGCTCAGTGCCTACACTCTACAGGAACATTGTTCAAGGCTTATCACAAAATATACCTCCCTCCTCTTCTAATCGCCCCAGGCTGCTTAGCTGAGCTTTTTTTGTTTTCTCTTAGAAGAATCAGGATAAGGAAAAATAAAGCTTTGTTAGTTCTTTATCATTTTACCAGTGAAGATAGTCATTTTACCACTTTGAAATACAATTATGCTTAACTACACCAAGTCCTTATTTACGTTACTTTTTTGTTTGCAGATAATAAGCTCATTTGACATCTTCAGAACTGCCTTCCCTCCCTCTGTCCTTTTCTTGGACTCTTTTGTAGAGGATGAATCACTTTCTGCCCTGGGCTGTAGAAACACGTTCAGTCCATTCACTTCTATCTGCAACCAATAGATTTTGATGTTGTGTAAACCACCTCCTTTCCCTCCCCTCAGGAAAATACTACAGTCTTCTGTCTCAGCAGCCTTTTATCTCCTGAGGACTTGTCATCTTCTGCCTTTCTGTCTTCTCTCTATCGCAATCTGTCTCTTGGCAGCCAGCAGTGTTTCTGCCAACGTATGAATGGAGTCTTTTGTGCAGCTCCCTCGAGCAGAGATGTCCTGGATGCCACTTCCTCGTGCCCTGGGCCGACCTGTGTCACCGCCCATGAAGTGCACAGCCATAAGGTGATCACGGCCAGGGCCGAGCAGATGGTTTGCACCGCTGTACCCTGAGATGGAAACGTTGGGCTCTGCCAGTGCCTTAGTGTGCTTGAAGCTGTTTCCCTCAGTGAACATCCTTTGGGCAGAGGTGCAGTGAAACTCGCTGCAGGTTACAGTTTGGGGTCGCTCTCAGGTGTGCTGCAGTGACTTGCATGCGTCTTGCTGAAGAGCTCAGCGTGTCTTGCAGAGCAGCTCTCTCCTAAACTCCTTGGCCACTTCAAAGTGAAAGATCAAAAGCGATAGACCAAAACATCTGAGGACAGGGAGCTCTTCCTGCAGCTCTGGGCAGAGGGAACGTGGATCAGGTTGGGATCATTTGTAGGGGGTGCTTCTCACGCAGCCCATTTAGACGTTGTCCCAAGTCATGCAGTGCTGCTTGTCTGAGCTTGTGTTTAACAACATACTGCCTAGAATTCAGCCCATGTTCCAACATGAGTTTTTATTAATCGCCTTATGGAAGTTGCAAGCTCTCTGAAAAGTCTTTAAGAACTTGCAAGCTTCTTCCATATGCCTCTCCTCAGCTTCCACATACATATGTCTTTTGCAGCCTTGTGAACCTTTCTTTAAATCATGCCAGGTAACTCAGTGGGTGCTGCATGTTAGTGCAGGACCAAGAGGCTGGACCTCCTCCAGGCAATACACTCTAGGCTTAGTCTTTTAAAGCACTATCAAATGGGTAACTTCTAAAAGCCCGTTTAACCTCTGAGGATGCAGGTGAGGATGCAGCATGACACGCCGTCCCCGCTCTTCTGCAGCCCCTGTTTCCTTTTATACCGGTCAGAAAGGTCTTTGGACAAGGAGGATTCTGAACAGTACCAACCCCATAAGCTCAGCCCTTAGCTGATGATGGCTGCTGAGGAAAACTGAGGAAACTGAGGAAAACACCCCCCAAGCTGCTAAAAGGTCTTTGGCAATTGGGCTGGTACTGAAATTTCGGGGGTGAAGGGGTTGTGAGTTCCCACGACACTCTGGAGAGTGTCTGAGCAGGGCTGGTCCACTTGCTTTAATGGTTACTCCCCACTGATGTTTTGTGTTTACAGTATCCATAAACAGAGTGGAGGAGCAAGACCACAGTTTCTTGCTTAAATGTGGAAACTTCAGGGCTTTGCAGAAGTTTGTCCTTCTTTGGACTGACCTCCACCCCTTCAGCTCTTGGCTCTTTGCTTTTTATCCTTCATTGAGCATTTTTATTATTTTTCAGAAAAGCAGTAACATCTTAAGGCAAAGAAGTATGTGGCAATATTACCACACAGAAAATAGCATTTCCTTGTGATCTTTCTGTGGACAGCTGTTTTGCATCACTTCTCCCATGCAGCTTCAAAAAGAGGGTACTGGCGCAGCCTTTCAGCTACTTCAAAGTTGACCCAGTAGAGCTGTTCCACTCGGGATGCAATTATTTCACCAGTACAAAAGTTACACTTCTAAAAGCCTTCCTGCGGCTAGAGACGTACTGCTGTAGAACAGCATCCTGGACTGAGTGTGTAAATCTGTGCAGTTTCACCCCCAGCTGCATGACCCACTAGTCTGTACTACGAAAATTGTGCAAGTAACTCCAAACATAGACAAGTTCAACCTGTTTTCCCTACTCTTACTGAAAACTAGGCTGCTGTTCTGTGCTGCTGCCCCACCAGCTCTCAGAAGTTGCCGTCTGTCCAGACAACTCCAGGCATTTTTTGGCTGTGCTGTTACTTAGAGGACAGGCAGACAAGAAGACACTAATTAGCACAACTGGCTGAAGTCAGGATGTGTGGGACGAGATCACGCGGCCACCTTGGACTAAGCATCTCAGCAGCTTGTTAGTAGATGTGAGTGGGGAGGTCTCTGTTAGGTCCATGGCTGCTGCATTCACATCCAAATCACCTGCACGACAGCCTAAAACGTAAACTGGGAATCAAATGATGAAAAAAGGGCTAGTCTTTAAGAACACGCTGGTACTTTTTCCACATGGGAAAATGTGGTGAAAGCTTTGAGGCCAAAAAGTGTTTAAAAATGTATCTTTTATTCAAAAGACTCCCCCAGCTTTTTTGCTGGTGGTGTTTTTTGGTTTCTTGCACACGTATGGGAGCTTGGGCCGCGCGAGCGGCGCCGGTGCCGGTTCTGGCTGCTGTGCATTAGCAGCGGTGCACGACCGACCTCACCGTGATTCCTCAGCCAAGTTCTCCGTGCAGCATTTGGGCAGCAGGGACTTAGGGAAATAGAATTTAACACTCGTCTTATTGAATTATGTTTATTGAAGTTATCTTCTCTTCTCTCTCCTAATGCCTGATTTCTGATCTCGAGGCTCTCGCCTGGGGTGCCTCAAGTGCCTGCCAGGATGGCAGCGAGCAGCGTCACCCTCGTAGCTCCCTTACCGGCGACTGGCAGAGAGCTGCATCTGCTGAGCAAGCACGGGGTAAAGTAAGGACAAAGTTTAACTCCAGAAATGTGCCATGGAGAATTTAGCCCAGGCAGGGAATGTGATTTTTTTAATGAAAGTTTTTCCTTTGAATAGATGTGTGCTACAAAGCGCAGCAGTGGCACTTTTCCCTCATCCTCCCTCCTTGCCCCCCTGTGCCCTCCGTGAAAGGGTGCTCGGGGCTGGCAAAGTCTGAACTCAACGTGGGGGGTTTCCTAGAAATGCAGAATTGAGGACTTCAGACGTTAAGGGGTGCTTAGCATGTCCATGAAGCCTAGTGAAAACACCACCTAAGTCCTGAGGCGTGAGGCAGCGTCCTGGCTGTGCGTGTGTCTGCACATGTGTGCACATCTGTATTTGTTGAATACTTCTGCCTTGTGCTAGAAAATGGCCATTGGATCTGTTTCTCGGAGTGAGGGTTATTTTGCTAATTCTCTGCCCAAAGTTATTTTTTCCACCTTTTGTTTTGGTGACAAATCCTGTGATTGAAAGCATTTGAGGGAGGAAAATTTTACTTGCGCTCCCTTTCCTCCCAGATTTTCCTCTCTGCTGCTAGTAGGAGCATTGGTCAAATGTCCCTGAAAAGCCCCTTGAGCCAAATCTGAATGAGACCTAGCAGCTGGGCGGATAAACTCTGCAAAGAGCAAAGGAGTGAGTGTAGTCCTGAGTGTGGCGGGCAGGTTTGCTCCGGAGGGTCCCGCTGAGGGGACAGGGAAGTTTGAAATCAGCTGGCAACTGAAATCGGCTCCCGCAGGTTCCAGAGCACGGATAGCAGCAGAGAACAAGTGCTGTCATCGCCTGCATTCGCGTCCCTTTCAGCCTGTGCTTAATCATGCCC